TAATGGATTTACTTGTTTATTAAGTGGGCGGGGTTTGGAGTTAAGGGGCGGAGCTTTTTCTTAACTTCTTCTTCGAAGTTTAATTTATCCATCCATCAAGTTAGAGGGTGACTGCATTCAATTTCAATTTCATTCCAATTCATTTTTCACCGGTAGTTTCAACCGCTCTTATCTATGGAATTTTAGGGTATTTCAGGACGGCAAAAAGCGCTTCCAAATCGAATTCGGAGCGTGTAAACAATGTGACACGATAGCAAGTGTGATGAACTTCTAGGGCATTCCCCAGACAATCGACACATGAGTAAACAAGAGCACGCACGTGGGCTTTCGCAACATCACCATCAGTGACGTCAGAAGCGTATCTCCTACTAGAGACGTCGGGGGAAATCGTGGCTGTAGCGACTAAAATTTTTACAAACCTCTCCGCTAATGGCCTATTCACCAATAGGATGAACTTCTTCATGGCAAGAGTACTAGCCTTGGAAGTAACGCAGTCATCGTCTCATAAATTTTTTGAGGCATTAAGGTACTTCTCCGGTCGGAGCTGCTGAGCATTACATAGCCATATCTGTAGCATACCTCTATGAATCCTAGCAGAGATCCGAAACTATAACTCAGGTACCTACACAACGACAGCGCATCGAAATTTCACTTTAGAGATCCGTTAAAAATTGAGCGGTCTCGCTTGGTTCCAAGTTACTCTTAAGTCGTACTCCCAGAAGGTTGCCGCTTTTGATTACAGGTGCTCCTCCTCCTTCTCAAGCATCCCTTTGTGTGAAAAAAGTTCCTAACTTAATGTGAACTGGAATCAAGGCCGTTGATCTTTCTGGTAAATTTTTTCAGTATTCTATCGATTTAGAAAACTCCAGACATTAGTTCGAAACGATTTTCTTTTTGTCAAGGAACTTTACGCCAACCTAACCATGCCAAGTTGGCTGGTAGGTTGGGCACTTTACTCTATTGGTACTCTGAAACCAAATTCTTGTTCATCGGAAGGCTCTCCATAGCGGATGGAAATGCAAAAATCCGACAGAAACACCGACAATCAAAGTTTTCGTGCAAAGCAATTCATCCACCACGCGTTAAGGCCCAACCGGCTGTCAGCTGCGGCGCTATCGATCGACGGCNCTTCTCAAGCATCCCTTTGTGTGAAAAAAGTTCCTAACTTAATGTGAACTGGAATCAAGGCCGTTAATCTTTCTGGTAAATTTTTTCAGTATTCTATCGATTTAGAAAACTCCAGACATTATCGAAACGATTTTCTTTTTGTCAAGGAACTTTACGCCAACCTAACCATGCCAAGTTGGCTGGTAGGTTGGGCACTTTACTCTATTGGTACTCTGAAACCAAATTCTTGTTCATCGGAAGGCTCTCCATCAAGGATGAAAATGCAAAAACCCAAGAGAAACACCGACAATCAAAGTTTTCGTGCAAAGCAATTCATCCACCACGCGTTAAGGCCCAACCGGCTGTCAGCTGCGGCGCTATCGATCGACGGCCACTCACGTTGCATCCCCACTCCCACGTTCACGTTTCCTTCCCTTCCCAGACCATTTGTCTTCTTCTTTTCCTTAATAACCTAGCCTGTTTCTCCTCTGAGTAGTGTTTTTTTATTCTGATAAGAAATTCTACCAATTATTCACAATTTTTTCTCGAAATTCCAAACGAAAAAGTATAGGCGGAGACTTTTGCTTACATTATTCATGAGTTTATATTACTTCCTGGATTTAATAATTTTGAGGAAATGAGATATCCTATCTGGACCTCTGTGCACGTCATCATTCAGATTTATTGGACCAGTTTTTAGAATATTTTTGTATTAATTGTTCAAAAGTAGGCTGTAAGGTTGTGTTGCAGTGGTTACCAGGGCACTGACATACATGGTAACTTGGAATTGTCCAGAATAAGTCTCAGAGTCATTCCTTCCAACTTTTTCTCAGTGATTTGATTTTTTGACTGATCGTCAATATTTTTTATCCGATCATCTTCATTTCACCGTTTTTTCCAAACCTTTAGAAGTGACGAGGTGTGTCCGGGTCCATTGATCAGTTCAGAAAAGTATTCAGTGTGCTTCTACATTGTTTCGACGAAACGTTTCCTAATTATTCTCTTCAGAATAATCGCTAGCTTTTCTACTTTTTTCGATAGTTGTTCTGGAATTTATTAATTTTACTTTGGTTTAAATTTAGTTTATTCAGTTGCTTGGGAGAAGGGTGGTCCTTTAAAACCAACTCTGAATATTTTTTATCCATTGCAAGTATTTCAAGATTTAATGAGTAAATCTGTGACAATAAGCTTACCTTTATGACGGAGATGAGGATTTAGTGAATACAAGGGCTGTTCTTTTTATTTGCCTTATCTCGTGTAGTGTCATCTTCATCATTTTTTTTTCAATACCGAGTTTTCATTTCACCAACATTTTTTTTTGTCTCATTTATTTTCAATAGGCATTTCCAGGTTTGAAAGCGACTTTTTCCAGACATGTACGTCTACAGGATGCAATATTAGTTTGATTATACAATATTTTTTATGGAAAAAGTCATTTAATTCGAAAGTAAACCAGGGATTGAAATAACGATTTGAAACTGGTCATACATACACACATTGAGGTGGGAACAGGTTCAAGATTTCGTGGAAGGCCGAAACATCAACGGAGTTGATTCGAAAGGTTTTAATGAAAAACAAGAGTCTGTGATCAAAATTTAAAATTCAAAAATTACTAGTAAGTATATAATAGTAGAATAAATAATGTATAGTATAACTAATAAGAAATAGAAATATTGTGGTGTTTCTCAGGATTTTTTGTTTTTTTTTTTGCTGACATATACAAATAACCTCGCCTCTCCTCTTGTGATATGACTTCTGAACAATCTCGATAGTATTCCAAAAAAAGCTCACATGGTCGAGTATGAAGACAATCAGAAATAAACGCAGGAATGAACAGTTATATTAACTTTCCCTACTTTTTTTCGGGTTCTTCTCTCTGATGCTTTTTCTTTCTCAAGCGTTTTCCATTTCAATTCATCTCGTCTATTTCGGTATCTATGCGACCTTCTTCTTGTTGAACTCGTCCATCTCGAATTGCAATTTTCATTACTATGAAATAAGGAAAAGACCTTTATTACCGAACTTCTTTTTTAACTTATTGATCGATATGCAATCTGGCATTCACATGAATCCCATCGTCTTTGTGTAAAGTGATTGCAGTCTTTTGTTTTTTCTTTTTTATTCGAAGTTGTACTGCTTTAGAAAATGTTCGATAAATTGACTGGTAACGGAAATGGGAACAAAATGAATATGCGCATCCATGTGTTGGAGCAAATTCTGTCCTCAATTGAAACAGACGGCAGTTCAGCACGGGTTTGTGCATTTTCAAGTAAAAAATTGCACTTTGCATAAAAAATACCTCAAAATCATTTTTACCAGTTGACAGTAGCCGGTCTTTGGCAGATGCCCTCGCCCAACCGTAACAGTAGTTCCTTTTGAAGTGTCGGGGGCTACTCAATCATTTTGACGCTGTATTTAGTAATAGCTGAATTATTTATTATTATACCCGCTAAATACAATCTTATGGTTAGGTTGTTAGCGGTTTTTATGATAAGCTATCTCAACGATTTCTTGTGGGAGCGAACCTTGGGAGGAATAGGCCAGAAACGAGTAAAATGAATAATTCGTAGTTCAAATAGTGAATTGATAAATTACTGGCAAGTGGGTAACCAGACTTATCAGTTTCAGGAAAGTTCACCCATTATAAATAATGTGTTACATTGACCGAGATTCTGGGGAATTCTTGTCCACTCCGATCCTACTGTTCGATTCTAGCTGAGATGTAAGTTTTAGGTCAATTCCTTGCGTCAAGTGATCAGGCGAAATAAAGCAGATATGGCAGATGATGCTGGAAAATCACTGGATTTAATGCGAAGGGTAAGTTTTGAGATCTTAAAGAAATTTAGGGCAAACCGAACTTTTTTTTTGATCTCATGTCCGCCATAAGGTTCTGGAAGCGCCTGACTATCCCCATAGAAAGTGCTCAGAAAAAGACGTGGGTACAGAGGGATTTGTGCGATCATTCCAACTTTCGTTGGGGACGTGTTTGAACTTTTCTGATGAGGATATTGACATTTTATAAATCAAGGTTATTTAAGACGATCAATCGATTGTCAGTCTGTTGTAAAGTTCCATATGGTTCTTCTAAACTATCGGAAAACGTCATAAGCACGCGGTTTTCTGAAGATTACCGACTCCTCTTGCAAAGTTGTTCCAAAACCGGTTCTGGAGAGAGCTTCATGATAGAAAAAGTACAGGAAAAAAGTGGTAGATCCGGCGGCGGTGTAGTTTTTGAATCAAGGGATGGGAACCATCACTCCACTGTATACCGTGTCTCCATGGACTGTTTCAGATATTCCAAAATGAAATCACGAAGGAATTGCAACAGATCATGGATCGCCACATTCGAACAACATTCTCGCCTGCCATCGAAAATCTCAAAAAGAACGGTCATGTAAGTGGTTTAGTGAGACTATTAAATTGTTAGCATAGACAGGACTGTGCCCATTCAACTGCTCTTCCTTGCTGGGGCAATAGGGATCTGTTTAGATTTAAACTACGAGGGCTATCGGTTCGGGGAAATCGGTTACTATGCACCTCACCTGAAATGATGTTGGTTCTCAATTAAGTTGGGTAATATTTTGACTTAATCTCGCCAATCTTGTGAAGTAATACATGGATAATAGGGGATTAGTGGAGTTTTATATTGAGACTCAACTAACTCGTGACTACAAGTGGTATCTCCCTGCCTTTCGCCTTCTTCCCAGGGTAAGGCTGCAGAAGTTAACGTATACTGAGAAAAAAAAGGTGTCACAAAAAATCTTTTGTGGGAATGTTTCTGGAACCTATGTGAGTGTGCAACAAAAGTCTGAATGAAGGCATTAATGGAGACCATTTGTATTCTCAAAAAGCCAGCATTTGTGGGAGGGCCATAGTTTCACTTTATGAAAGTGTTTACGGTAATATTTGGCGGTGCTTTGGAAGTGTAACAATACTTTCAGCTGTAGTAAAGTTCGACTCATCGATAGAACCCGTCTAGCTATGTACATTACTCTTACCCGAGATAACCTTTGTGGACTCTAAGGAGTCATGGGTTTTCAGAGAGAAGACAGGCATTCGTAGGGTCCCAGTAGTTATGTGCTTTCAGTGAAACCTATAAGTACTACTTTTTCTGAGTGTTCGACTTTCCAGGTTGTGGACCAAGACGTTATCAACGATCTTTATACCAGTATTCTGGACGCAGCTAAGACTCCATTCATGAGAGATCGTACTTCGACAATGAATCGTGATCGACTGAATTCAGAAAAAAGCGTGAAGGTGATTACTCGAGCCATTTAAAGATAAATATTCATAGGGTGGATATCTGACCTGCTTCTAAGAAGTTTTGAAAACCTTTATAAGGTTTCTATAAGTCCAAGTTCAGCCTTATTAAATTCATTAATTTTCATTGAATTCATTGACTCGATGTGGTTTTGAGACGACTTATGGAAATCTTTCGGCTTTTCACAAAATTTTTTAGCTAGCTTTAATATAAATAAACATTTTTAGCGAGGATACGAATCGGATGAATCCGATGTCAGCATTTTGAGTCAGTCAAGCGAGGTGAAACGGAGACGAGGAAGACCACGGAAGGTAGTTGTTTCCTGAAATGCTTGCGTTGCTGAGAGCCATTTTTTTCCTGTGGAAGCCATTAAATATCAGTTTCCTTTTGGGTTGGTCCTTCTGATTTATTGAGGATGTTTATCCACAATAGTTGAAGGATATTAAAAATTTATTCTTTTAGTAAAATCAGTAATACCAGTAAATTAGTGATATCGCAATGTAGATTTTTTGAGATTTCCACTGAAGCACACTCTACAGGTAACTGTTCTTCTAGGACGAGGAAATGTCATTGGATCTATCGCCACTCACATTACATGAAGTGTTGAAGTGGTGTCCAGAACGTCATCTCCTCAGTACTCGATACATTCCTGCAGCAAAAGTAGCCGCTTTGCTTTCCATACCAGTTGCAGTGTTTTTCAGTAAATATCCTAGAATGTTCCGGGTGAGTAATAACTTCCCCCCAAAATAGACCTACATACCCACATGTTCTAGAAGTCCAGCAAAACTTCGAATTTCAGTATTCTTGTGATGAAGAAGATCGGGCAATGCTGATGGAAGAAAAGAAGCTTTCAAGAAGTGCTGGTCGTTGTTATTTAATGGTCATGGATGATGTTACCGAGTTGCTCGGTCGATCGTGAGTTTCCCTCTTCTTCGAGTAAAACTAGAGACAACTTTAGTTTGAACTATGAACTACTTGTGGAGTCCAAAAAAGGAATTAGGATCTATTACGGTAGTTACGAAGTTCCTGATGTCTTTGATAAGATCTCAAACAGTCTTCCCTGGTTAGATGTGGTCTGGCCTGGTGTAGGTCAGCTCTCAGCTGCTCATCTTCTTGTTCTTTCCCTGCTCGTAACGATGAGCAAATTTTTTCTCCTCGGTTTTTCTCCTAAACCCGACTGAAGTCATTGCTTCCCTGTGACTCGATCCGTGGAACGCTCGGGTCGCCCATGTGAACTTGGAAGATCCTTCTGGGCAGTCCCCAGTCCAAATATCCATAGTCTTTTGGTATGCGTTTTCCAAGCCTCTTTATGTTTCGTCGACCGTATAATCGCGTCTATTATCGGTGGCGATTTCACGTAACAGCGCACAGCGCGTCCGGCGTCCTCGCTCCTAACAGAGCTGCTTCATGTTGGCTCAATTACATATTGAAGATTGAAAAAACTGATAAAATACCACGGACATCAGAAGACTTAGAAGATGCTCGAGGCATTCTCCAGGAGATCACCCCTTACCCTCGTAGCTTACGCCCTCAAATAGGTTTGTACCTTCGGAAACACCCCACATTTAGCCTTTCCCAGTGTTTCCCGCTAGTGCTCCTCAAACTTTCACTTGGGATCGATTAACAGATGACAGCACTTTTCAAACCTTATTTTCAAAAAAAAAAAGCGTGTACTCTGTTTTCCTCATTTACCTTCTTGTTATTTTTTAATATTTTTTTCGGGGCGGAGGTGGTATAGTTCAAACAAACAGTCCGGGGATCAAATGCCGGATTGTACCAGTCCAGGCCAATCAATAACTCCAATCATCCGGGGTCGAGTAATCCATAGCACCATACCAGACTTGGCTGGAAGGGTAGTGGCAATGGCTTGTGCATCAAACACTAGTCAATGCTGCTCATTCACAGCTTGCTTTTCGGTTGGCATGAGCAAGTCAGTTATAAGCATTCAATGCACTACTACAATTGTGACCGGAAGTGGACTGCATGGCGCAACAACCAATAGTGGACGATCGGCTAGAAACGGTGTAGCCTTGCCCTTGCTTGTAACTCTTTTTTATTCTGCTATTTCTGTACTAGAGAAAGACCTGTGTCTGTTCTACTGGGTTAAAATCTACGTCAAGGAGCAGTGTAGGCAAAAAAAAATCGAAAAAACAAAGAATAAATATAGAATAAATAAGTAATGATAAATAAATGAATTCCAAAAATGTTTTACTTGAGGCCGGATCTTGAATTTGGCGCTTTCACATTGAACGAGCACATCTTGCTGAAAATGCGATCAAGGACGGCACCGGTGTTTGAGCGGTTAAAAGCTCGTCTTCCGCCATCAGCATACACTTTCAACCAGTGATCATATGTACCTCAGATCTCAACTTGTAACTTTGCAACCCAGTGATACTAGTCAACGGTTTCTCATCCTTTTTCTCTTTCTTCTTCTCTTGCTCTATCCCTTTCTTTTTCGCTTTCTGTCTACCCCCTTTTCTAACCATTATAGCAGTTTTCGTTTATTTTACGTGCCCCTTTTTACCCTGGTGATGTTCATCTATGAGGAGTTCGATGTAGCCCTATAACCAAGGCTAAGTGGCCCTTTGTATTCAGGAACTATGACTTTCTTTCTGCATAGATAACATTAAAATAGCACTGTTACAATGTGAACAGATGACGAATGTACAATAAAAGTTAATGTGCGATGTTTAAGACATTTCCAGTTTCTCAGAATAAAATCTGCATGGGAAAACTCTCTATCGATTTTTGAAGAACTTTTGCCTTTTCTATTTATTTCTATTCATTAAGAGCTTCACCCTTCTCTATGGGTACCTTATTAGGCCAGTCAGGCAAGATGTACTCGTCTTTTTGCAAGGGCCAGATACATTGTACTTGATTGTAGATAAATAAATTCTAATCATAATTGAGTTTGAAGTGTTAAATAAACGCTCCCGAACAGTAACCTGACAATAGGGGAGAACCAATTTTCAGCGCCCTCGGTGGAATTCTCAACTTGGAGAAGACGTCACGTCTGAACGTGTGATTGGGAAATCGTCCAATTGTTCTTCCCGGGACTTGCGGACATCGGAATATTGCCTTTGTAACCTAAATTAACAACATTACTATATATCCAAAGGATAGCGTTTTTGCCATTGATGAATCCTCACTTGGATGCTCTTCTTGCGTTCGATTCCTTTTTAGACGGACAGTATTAGTTCCTCTTAGTCTGGAATGCTAAAATCAGATCCATAACTAACTGACGTTTTTGGGAGCATCCTTGGTGGTCCGAGGAACTGATCACCTATGGGTGTATCAATATCTCGTCTACATATAGGCATCATATTGTAATTAAAGGGATTACGATATCTCTCACTTATTTACTATGCCATCGAATATTTTCATAGTTCCGAGGAGCCGATTGATTCCCTTACTTCCAGAAAGCACTTTGCTGTGAACCTGGAAGGCTCCGGGTATTTTTTCTATGCCACCGATTTACCTCCTTCGGAGCTAACACCCAAGGAAAAAATGCTCAGTAGGTCCTTACTCGTGAAAGAAAGGGCTGTAGAAGAAGAAGGGTTTGTTACTAGCAGCGGAAGCCTCCTTATTACTTATGGAACACAAAGTCAGGCCGCTCAGTGGATCACCTTAGATACCCCGGATTACGGTAGCCACCACCAATCCCAATTGGTTACGGTAATGCTCTTTCCAGGAAGAAAATGATCTATGTTGGATTTTCGCTACTTAAATGAATTAGTATAGAGCCCATTGTCTTCTGACGATAGTTAGGTACTCTCCCTTTGTGCGGTGTTGATGAAGGAGCCGCTTGCTTCTGCTGCTGTTGGAGGAGGGCTAATACCTGCGTATCGCTGTCCCCCCATATAATAGTCTTCCGGTGATTTGCCTAGGCATATTCATACATTGCTGCGGACATTAACCAAGAAATGCCGACGACCACAGGTGAAAATTTTTTAAAAATCATCTTTATTTTAATTTTCTATTTCTATCATCAACACCTGTTTTCGCCGAGTTTGATACCCTTCGCTTTAAAACCTTTCAAATGCTCAAAATCACATATTGAATCAGGGCTTCGAGAATATGCCCTCTTATACGAGATAAAAGTTGTAGCGGTGTCTTGTATTTGTTTACAATATCACTTGTTTGTTTACGATCGCAGTTTTGCCCTTTTTGGGACTTCGTTCTACACTTAAACGATAGAGTTTTTAACCGTTTTAAAGGGACAATCCCTGGTACTTTTCCTGCACTGTACCTGCCATGTACCCACCTAAGTCCAGGACATTTGAAGAAGTACGCATGTAAGCCCTTCAAAGTTTCCTTCCCACAAACTGCTAAGAGTAATGGTGAGCGTAGGCTGCTGAACTTATACCGCTACTGGGACCTCCCCTCCCACTAAAAACTGAACAAACTAATCGGTACAGATGTTCATTCCAGATGTTCGCATGGCTCAGCATTATCTGGTTCTTTTTTTTTTTGACGGAGATTAGCTATTCTACACTTGAGATCCTACTCCCAGACTCATAATATTAATGATTCCAGTCGACCAGGACCTCTCGGGCATCCAATTTTTCAGTGGGAGCCAATACCTTATACCTGGTACTTCAACGATGGCTAGTTGACTTGCTTATAAGAGATGTTCGAGTTTACCAGAAATGGGGAACACTCTTCGTCTCTCCAAAGCAAGAACACTTATCAGGGCGATTGCAGGTTCTTTCTGTCCCGAGGGGTTAGGAGAGCATGTTTTGGACCTCACTGAACACTATTGTATGCTTGAGTGTCTCGTCCCATAGCTGAGTGGGCGGTGGTACATGAGCTGCCGTTTTGCCGCAATCATTTTCACCCCGAGGGTCCATCGCGATCACCGAGACCGAAATGGTCAGCCTTCAGAGAACCTCGAATGTAGGGTCGGAGCTCCGCTAGATATGGAATCCTGTCAAGTTGTCCATGTGCCTATTTGTAATATCGATGAGGTGATGTCTTCTATGAAGGGGCGCCTCCTCTAATTTCTTCCTGTCTCGCATGTTGTATTTTTCTCGAATTTTCGATCTGTCCTTGCGGACCAAATGATATTTTTGGTCTTTAATAAGAAACCTCACTCACAATTTAAGTTCCCTTTTCAGTTAACTAGTCACTGAGTAGCCTAAGAGTTCGATCAAGTACGGTGTCATTCCTCAGCGGTGTCCTAGTTTCTTCATGGTGACCGCAATGGCACTTCCTGTTCATATCCATCTTGCAACGGGCTTAAACACCTGGCACCTAATGGGTGCGATCCAGCTGGGTGGATGAAAGCCTTGGCGGTACAGTCGTTGGACGTTGTGAACGGCGTTACCGTTTGGCCATGAGGGAGCGACGGAGAAGAACCACTGGAGCGCGATGGTTAGAGTTAAACTTTGTCCAGTCAATGTGTTTCCTCATGGGAAAAGTCTCCCGCTAGTGATTTCGCAAAGTTGCCGAAAACACTTTGAGATGATACTTAGAGAAAATACTTTTGCTACCACCTCTTCTCTATCGAAGAGCTACCCATTTTCGATTCCCTTCAAGCGAGCATTGAAGTGTTCAGTTCCTGATTTGGGTGAATTTTTATCAGATTGGTTTTCCTGAGTTTTAGAAATGTTAGGAAACTGCACATGAACTATGGTTACACCAACGCTGATATGGTGTCCCACTGTCGTTCGCTGCAGCGGAACTCAGAGCCATGTAATTCGGTGCTGCCACGCTTTCCACTTCCATTAAAAATCGTAGTGGCGTTTGAAGACGTGAAGGGGGGTCGTAGTGGCGTTCACCATGTTGGGGAAGGAGTATTGACCCTGTTTGTACGCTGATAGTGCAAATCTCGATTAGGGTTATTAAATATTATCAGTTAAATCAAAAAATTCTGGTATTTTTTTAACAAGTCTCATATTATATACTAGCCTGTTGAAGTAATGAGTAAAAACTGGTACGTCGGCAAACCATACTCTTCGAAAAGTTTATTTTCTTGAAATATAATAGCTTTTGAGTACGTACCACGATGAATGACGGTACATCAGCAAACTTTGCGCTTCAAAGTAGAGTATGCCGTCGAGGACGGCGAACTCCGTGAAGTACCTTTTTAAGGCAATGCTTTTTACTAAGGTAACTGAGAGCGAAATCCAGTATCTTTGTGAAGCACTGTAAACAAGTTTCCTTAGAGAAAGTCCTTTATCAACAGCTATGCGAATTTTTTCTTCAAACGTCGCCTTACACGCCTTTCCTACGAGCGAACGACTGTTCCCGAGCGAACTACACTAGAAATTGCACAGAAGCACCTACTCTTTAAGTTTGCCTTGGAAGACTACTTTGTTCATGAACATAGGTTGCCCTCACCCTACCCCATTGGAGCAGCTTATAGCATTTCCACTCGTTTCGTGCCCCTTTCGAGGTGTATGTCAGTGTTGGTAATTACGGGAATCGCGAGCAACCTTTCCTCGTTATGTAGCCAGCCTTCAAGAAAAAAAAAACACTTGGCTCCATATATTTCCTTACATGCGGAAGCACGTCATGTGTGGTGATTTATCATAAGGTAGAAGTACACCCTTGAGCGGCTACGGTGTCCCCCAGCCAACAGAAGATTGATCTATACGGCTATTGCACTGGTTAGTATACAACGAACTTACTCCCTGAATTTTCGACAAGCAGCTTGCAAGTAGGTTTCAGGCCCTGATTTCTGATCCGAATTACCAAAGGGGATCAGTGAGATGGGTACTGCAGTAGGAGAAAAGAAAAATTGAACGACAATTAATTTTTTGTTGAACTGCCTGGTTTCTCATCAGGACTGGTGGAACAGTAGATGATTGAGAGTTATGCGAGGCGCGACTCCGAAGGGGTTCACGAGCTGGAGTCACTATATCCACCCATGGAGCCGCCGTGTCACAGAAGCACAGAGTTCCCTCAACTGGTATGAAGAGCTACTACACCGAAGAAGTAGCTGCAGAGCTGAGGACAACAAAGCAAACGGGATGAAATGCTTTCGAGATCATCGAGGGTGGGATAAAGGCCAAGAACATTTGACTACTTCCCCATCTTCTCGAGGCTGGAGTCCTGTTCACCAGTACAGGAACCTAGACAGAATTTGTCGGGGAAAGCTCCTAACAGGAAAATTGGTGAACTGAGTACCCTTCGATCGAAAACGATCCTAGCCTTGCTTGTGGTCGGACCTTAGTTATGCCTTCTGGAAGGCTCAACGAGACGACAGGCAGTAAAGGTCTCAGCTAAACTTAATGTCAACATGGAAATTCTATTAATTTTTCAATTGATGCTTGTTTTCAATATCACATTAAATTACAAAAATTCATTCTCAGGAGAATGGCATCTATTGTGTTGTGCCTTGAATTTAGGTGAACTCGAAGATGATGTTCATTCAAATGGAATGGCAAAAGAGACTGTCGTTCATTCAGTGCCATTACGAAAAGACGATGAAAGAGAAACGTGGTCTACAAAGGTAACCTCAAATTTCTACTCAACTGACGCATTAATGAAGCGTAAGCTGCGATGAACTTCCCTAACCGGAGAAAACATTTTCGTACATGAGGGGTTGTTTTAAGGGCATGTCTCATCACTTTTACTTTGTAGGACTTGATATCTTGCCCATACGGTATAACACCGATCTGCTAACATACTTTCCCTAATGCAAACCTAGGAAACTTAGGAGTTAGAAAAAGTATGTTAGCTGATCGGAGCCACACCACGTTTTTGTTCATATATGTGTCTGGTGTTTTTCTTTGCACCAGGTACATAGATAAGGACTGTCGTATGTGCTGAAATTGTCCAGAAGACGCGGTCCACGATTACTGATTTGGTGGCCTTCTTCAGTAAAACATGTAACGAGTAGAAATTGAGAACAATCTTAGTTTTAGGTCGATTTCCTTCTATCGGTTATCGGATTCGCAGTCGATTTGGCGAATATATGGCGATTCCCATACCTATGCTTCAAAAATGGCGGAGGTTGATTTTGACGGAGATTCGATAGAGTTCGAAAGCCATGAAGAGAATTCGAATAGGAAAAATCCGGAGATGATTTTTTGTCATTTTTCTTCTAAAATTTCCTGTTCAGGTGTCTTTTTGATACCGTACACATTGATGGTACTATTAGCGGGTATTCCACTGTTTTATATGGAGCTCTCGCTAGGTCAATACTATCGAAAAGGAGCCATCACGACATGGGGACGTATTTGTCCGTTATTTAAAGGTTCGTTGCGTTTCCACCTGATCAGTTTGATTATACTGTAGTGTACCGTATTTTTATGGTATAAACTAACTTTCTTTTCATTCGGCTCCTTTTTTAAAATCCTAACTGATTATATCAGATTCTACAACATAATTAACAACTAGCTATTTGAAATGTATTGATTGCTTTTGAACTAAAATGTCTGCTATGTCCAATATCGATATCTATCTGAAAAACCCGGCCAAAAAAGCTAAATTGCTCCGGCTCGCCCTCGGTTGCACTTCTGCGCCTTCCTTGCCGCACAGAACTGCAAGTCGTCAATCTCTAGAAGTACCCATGAGGAATGCTCAGCTCTGGCATGTCCGTTGAAAATAAAGAACTTGTTGTTTTCTCCGGCAATCAATAGTTTTCAAGTAAACACGTTGCGAGGAATCGGCAGACGGTATCCCATCTTTACAACTCATCCGGAACACTATTTTAACCGGTATTAATCTTATTTTGCGGATGGACGTGGTGTAGTAGCAAAAGGCACTATCGCACACGAACGGTCACGGGTTCGAATCCCTTGAATCACGGGAATATCCGCCCAAGCCAGCCAAGCTTTCAATCCCTTCAGGATGGGTGAATTGGTACAAGACTCGTCTGGGAGGAAGAAAGCACTGACGTGTACATCCACTGGCCAAGCAGTTAATTGTGTAGGCCACACCTGCCTTCGAGCCGCCACTACGATTCTGAATGGAGGTCAATTGCAGGGCGCGTCCCCTAGACGGGATTGGTCAACGCTTGGAGATTTTATCCTTTTTATCCTGCATTGAGCGTATTCTGCAATGCGATCATAGGAATCAGCCTTGTATTGAACCATGCCCTTTTTGCGCTTTCCGATTTCCGTCAATGCGACTTCCGATTCCATCAATAGTTTTGGAAGTACGAATTAACTCAAAGAGAGCTTCCGCGAACCAGCTAAATCTATCCATTCCTTCTACTTTTCATCAAGTGGTGTCTCCTCTACCAATAGAAACTTTGTAGTTGAATTTTTTTGATTGTCGCAAAATAAAGTTTGAGGACGACAGATTTTCATGCTTGATTTCCCAGTACTTCTCTTTTTCTGAGGCAAGGTCTACTATGTTAGAAGAATAGGATAAAGTCTTTAGCGATAGCCACCCCCTTTCAAGGTGCACCCCGCAATCGAATTTTCTTTGAAAGTGGTTGGAATGAGTATGTGGCCTGTTTAATGGCTTGCGGTGGCCAGCCGATATTAAAGTCAGTGCTTTCACTCATCTTCCCGGACGAGTCTGGTACCAGTTGAATGACTCTGGAGACATGAAAGACTAGGTTGGCCTGGGCGGCTATTGATCAGGGATTCAAACCCGTGACCATGTGATTGTGATAGTGCGTCACTTGCACCTCCTCTACCGCTTCCTTCCCTGATTCTTTCCAACCTGAAAGATTTACTAAAATGGCAATGGGCAATTATGAGATGAATATGTTTTTAAAATTTGAAGGATGAATTCATGTCAGTAGCTATGCAAGGTTGCTTTAAGGTATTGGCTATTGTGTGATCATGATCGCCTTCTACACGGACTTCTTCTACAATGTTGTCATCGCATGGGGTTTTCACTATTTATATGCATCATTCACATTGCATTTACCATGGGCAAGCTGTAACAACTCCTACAACAGTATTGCTTGCTATGAGCCACAGTAAGACATTTATTTCTGAAGTTTGCTACCATAGAATATAGACCTCACAATTACCTGATTTTCGGCTTTTATCGAATAAAAGTAAATTTGACACTCGAGGTGATTCTAGAAGAAGTTTGATGTTTGTTCTTTAAGTTGGAGCGATGGGTCTTCTACGTGTCGGGAGCCGGTCATCGACGAATCGTCACAAATTTCAGCAGCAGAGGAGTATTTTTAGTCAGTTCAAGCAATGTTCTTGAAATTCAAGCAAAATTCATATTGCAACTGAAAATGGGTGGAAGAGATGTAGAATGACCGATTAGCTTTCCTGCGATGATACCCATACGGCTTCCATAAAAAAGAATGCCCTGACAATATTAATCGACACCGTTCTTTCCCTTCTGGGCAAACCTCTGGGAGGGTTGGAAACGAATTAGAGCTTGTCTCCGGGCTTAAGTGAGAATAATCCAGTAAACGCTGGAAAAGGCAAAATTTTCGTCATATGTATACCTTCAGCAGTTCTGTTTTTATTTAGTACGTTGAAATTTTTCAGCAAAGGTTTTCTCGGACTTCACGCTCCTGGCGATACCACTTCGCATGTAATCAGAGGTCTCGACAACCTGGGAAGTGTCAATTGGCATATTGTCGTGAGTTTTTGATGGTATATAAAATCAGAAGTCATTCAGAAAGCTTTGGTTCTAAAAAAAAAATTCCATAACAGAGGAGGTAAAAGAAAAAGTGTTTGGCATTATTCATCCCCATCTCTCACACCCCCACCCCACACATGACTTCCACACAAAATCGTAGTGGCGTTCTGTTCGCGTATGTAACCAACGACTTGCGGTGGTCAGTCGATGCACAAGTCAGCTCTTTCACCCTTGCAGTTGAGTGCGGTAGCAATTAATCGACTCTGAATTGATGAAAAGCTTGATAAACTGCGGGTATCAGCCTATCAATCGATCCTTAAACCATGCTTGTAGTAGTGCGCTACATGGCGCCATCCCACTTACCCCTTATGTCCTGTTTCCCGCATTATATTGAGCAAAGATGTTGCCATTTATTAGTTTGCTTGCTTTGGATGTTTGTTTAAGTGTTCGTAGATGGGAGACATGGTTCCCATCGTGATAAATAAATAAATAAACCTAAGTGGTAAAAGGTGCTTCTCGAAGTTTCGCCAAAAAAGTAGCGAAAATACTTGCCAAGCATAGTTTTACTGAGTAACCCCTGAAAAATGAAATCCATTGATGTGAAATCCGATCAAGGGATGGAGGTGATCAAAGGTGGTTGTTCGATTTCTTGATCGATTTTTGGGGATTTGGGTGATTGGCAGCCCTAACACTTACTTATTGATAATCCATCATTAAATTCAATTTTGTCGGTTTCCCGTAGTACTTCCTTTTGAACGTTTTTATTTACTTTATTTGGCTGCTATTCTTATTTCTTATGTGTGCCTTCTGCAAACATAGTGAATCTTACCTATACATAGATATTTGTACATATATACGTTGTATATGATGTTCGTCCTAGATCTGCTTGGCGATTGTTTATCTAATCTGTTATTTCTCACTATGGAAAGGAATTGGTATGAGTGGAAAGGTGGGTGACATCGTTCTCAAGATTTGCCATCGTTTTCACTTCTTTGACAGAGTTATTACTAATACTGTTTTGTGACAAAATCACCTAAATATTGCAAAATACCAGATTACAGGTTGTTTGGTTCACAGCCTTATTTCCCTACGTCGTTCTGGGAGTGTTATTCATCCGTGGAATTACTTTACCAGGATCCGAAATGGGTATTGAGTACTACCTGAAACCAAACATCGAAATGTTAAAGGTGCAATCAAGAGTAGGAAGAAAACTGTATTTTGGTTTCGAGCTTACCAATTTTTCAGAGACCTTCCGTGTGGCAAGATGCCGCCACCCAAGTGTTCTTTTCACTTGGGCCAGGTTTTGGAGTACTTATGGCCTATTCATCCTACAATAACTTCAATAACAATGTTTATTTGTGAGTTTACTTTCATTGTAGAGAATTCGATTGGTATATTTTTGTCGTGGAGATTAACGACTGATACAGAGTTGACCTCATCAAAAGTATATCTCAAAAAATCCATACCTATACCAAAAAAAAATTAGAAAAAAGTCCTAAAAATGAATTTCCCCATATTGTGGATGATATAAAAAAGCAGAGGTTTTGGCAGGTAATAGATATATAATAATTCATTGCTAGACGTTTTTCACTGATTTTTTTCTTTTTTTAGTGTCCGGTGCATGAAAATTATCATTTTCAGAGATGCCCTAATCACGAGTGCTATCAACTGTGCCACCAGCTTCCTGTCAGGATTCGTGATATTTTCGGTTAGGTTTTATATATACTTGCTAAATTAGCTTCTAAATTGGGCTATATCATCAGTAGTAAGTTGAAATTTAAAATTTCGCTAAGGTTCTTGGCTATATGTCCTGCAAAAGTGGTAAACCAATCGATACGGTAGCCCAAGAAGGTCCTGGTTTGGTTTTTGTCGTTTATCCAGAAGCATTGGCCACGATGCCATGGGCTCCAGGTTGGTCAGTGCTCTTCTTTCTGATGCTCATCACACTCGGTCTCGACAGTTCGGTTGGTTTCATTCTATTGTCCATTTTTTTATAAAATTGAAAAATGTTCTATGAAATGATTTGTTCAGTTTGGTGGATCGGAAGCGATCATCACAGCGTTGTCGGACGAGTTTCCCATTATCAAACGAAATCGTGAAATTTTCATCGCATGTCTTTTTTCCTTCTACATGCTTGTCGGTTTTGCAATATGCACTAATGTAAGTTTTTGATTTGGGGAGGGTCAATTTTAAGCCGTTTTCTCCCTTGTGATATACTGAACGACGTTGAGCTGCAGTAAACTCACACAGTTCATCGGCGCTCAGTTTATCTTAGTGAGAAAATGGCAGAAACAGAAGAAAGTTCTGAGAGGAAGAGAGCAAGCAGGAGGGTTCGACAACTGCCTGTATAAACTTCGTGCCAGTGTCCAACATGGAGTTTTTTAGTTCAACAAAAAAGAAGTTATTTTAAGTTTTATCTCTCCACTCAAAGCCCTACCCTTTACATAAATGGTTTCTGAGATTTCTCGCTGGTACGAAACTATGACTTCCATGTCTGCCACATGGGGCGCTCTAGGGTCGAAAGAAGGCCTACATAGGGTGCAGCGAGGGTTTAAAGTTTGGCTCCATCTACGTCCACACCCAAAAGCGGTCTTTCAAAGAGCTCGAAGAGGTTCTCTCATCCACTAGAACACCTATGTTGAGACTTCAACAACTGTTCGTCAAGCCCTGATCCAGGCGATGGTGAGGACGATTTTCAGGCGCAGAAGTGCTCTAACCAACTGTTGCACAAGACTGAATCTCCTACAACCGAAAAAGGGGTGGGTGTTGGCGTGACGTTACGGACAGCTCGGACAACTTGTAATTTCAATAGAAAACTTCCCACAGTCTTGGTTGGAAAAGTGTTTACCTAAGGAATGCCCTTTTTAATGCCATCTATGCTACGAGGTTCTTAATGTTACCTCTAGTTCTAGTAGTAAATGTTGAGTAGGGTATTAAACGGTGTATTTTACTCAATTTTTTTTCAGGGTGGTATCCTGATTATGGAATGGTTGATTGTATATGGAACAACGTGGGGTTTACTGATTGCTGTGTTCTGTGAAGTTATGGTGGTCGCCTACATTTACGGTATGTAGCAAGCGATTCATTTGTTTCTTAAGCGAGCAATTTCAATGTTTTTTGAAAACCAATCTGACTCTACCACACCACGGTTTCAGGTATCAAGCAATTTGTTCGTGATCTCAAAGAAATGCTTGGTTTCGAGCCAGGAATCTACTGGAGGATATGTTGGATGTTACTTGCCCCGGTGTTTTTGTTGGTAAGTATGTCAAAAGACGTGGAAAAATTACGGGACTTTTTCCGGAACCCCTATTCTTTGGAAAGGGGAGGGTTTACTTTTGTGATTAGGCTCGAAGTTGGCATGGATTTTCAGCAAAAGGCTTAAGGTTCAAGTGAAGTACACGTGAAGGAACTGCTTAACTTTACCAGATCGATTACTTACATAGGTAGCACAGTTTTAGCGATATTGGCCCCAAGCATTCCGGTTCTCTGGACAGCTTGCGTTCATCGTCCATTTATTCACCCATCCATCTATTTATTAGTAAAAAGGCAAAAAGAAAGCATAGAAATAAACAGTATTCAAAGGGTCCCTGTGAGGACTTTGAGAAAACGGGTTCCTATCTAATCCAATGATTTCAGATGATGATTCTGTCGTCGTTCATCTATTATCAACCGTTGAAATATCAAGACTATGCCTTTTCAACCTTAGCCAACACTGTTGGAATCTTTTTCGCATTATCGGCTGCTTCAGCGATTCCAATCGTTGGCATATACAAATGTTTCGAATCAAAGGGCGATACTGTAGCCGAGGTAAGCTGATTTCATCCCAATTCTTGGACCATAAGTGCCCAGTCCCTAACTACAGTACCGTTGACGGTTTTGGAGAGAATTACCGGATAGCAAAAGGTAACATAAGTCCCGAAAAAACTTTATATGACTGACTAGACGAAAGAATTTCGAGTTACCCTCAAACGGTTCTTGAAGTTCTGACCCCGTTTTCTTCATAGGACCAGAGTTAATTCTGGACCTGGTCCAAATACAATACGTTATAGCAGTCTCATCCGCTTCCGCGACTTATTTCCCATGTAACTTCCCGCTTCGATTTCGAAATCAGGACTAAATTCTCCCCTTGTCTCTCGTGACTAGTGAGTGAGACGCAGTCGGTTTTCCGAATCGCTGAAGACAGATGAACACCTTCGGGTACTCAGCTTATCACCCTCGGATCTTTATATACCTCTGCCACAACCCTTGTCAAAAGTTCTGCAAACTGTGATCTTTTCAGAAGCTACGACGCGTTATTATGCCGTATCGTCGAAGATTATCTCAACGTGAATACGTTCCGATTGGGCGGCGTCATTCATCGGATGTGATGCTGTAGACAAGTTTATCTTTTCGAGATAGAATGTTCGAGACGACGAGTCGATTCTGATGAGATTATTGGAAAATTATCATCATCGTACCATTATTAGAGATATATGGAGTCAGACAGAAAGGTTTCTTCATTTGAAACTTTCTTTGCTGCCGCAGATTTATAGATGAGCCATAACGACCGGTCAAAGCCATAATGACCATTACGACTATTCCTACTGAATACGCGCGTCCACAGCTTTCACTTTCATTTTTTTTTCATGCAGATCGTTGACCGATCAGCTAGTTGTACCCTGCGGTCCATTTGAAGGCAGAGTTCACGATAAAAATGATTTCTGAGAGTTCCCTATAGTCTGAATTCGAGACTCTCCTTGCAAAATACCTGCCGTTTAATGTTCGAGAAAAGTCCTGGATAGGGCACAATAAAGGGCCAGAGATTGTATCGTCCGAATGCCACACCCAGAGTGGACGAGTTTCAGCGGCTTTGTAGAGGCAAGAACTATTTCAAGGGACTCCCATGAAGGAAGTTCTAACAACTTTTCGTGACCCATGGTGACAGCGAAAGGCAGTTCAGGACAATTTCGGCTTGATACAGTCGTCTTTTTGCGCAGTGGGAGCATATGAAATCTCGTCCAAATACCCTTACACGAATTCTCTCGCTTCCTTCGCTACCGATGTGCTCCTTTACAT